GCTCCTCAGGGAGCCCCATGTCCCTGCTGGCAGGGCTGGACAGCAGCTGGACACCACCAGGTCTAGGTGGCAGCAGGAGGAGCTCCAGGCTGCCCCAGGGGACTTCTCATTACCATCTTTTACCCCTGTCATGGTGCCACTGCCTCATGCAGCTCATGGAGCTGGAGGTACAGAGAAGCATAGCTTTCAAGAACTGAACAGGAGAAAGAAAGCTCCAGTTTGTGGACTGTGCCAACACTACCTCCAAACCCACAGCTGGCACAACAGAGCTGGAGCACAGAACCAAGCCCCTAGATCAGAAAAACGACTGGCAATGAGCTACGGGATCAACAGCACCAGGCTCAGCCAACGCTGGATACAGGCTTGCAGTAGAGGGCTAAGACTCCTCTATGGCCTCCAACTATTGGCCAAGCTTTTCCTTCATTTCAATTTTTAATACAATGACTCTCTCTTTTCAGCCTACAGCAAACTGGGTAACACACATAGCAACACTCTTCCTTCAGAACCTGGTAAGAGCCTGCTCCACTGGTAGATCAAGCCATTTTTCCCACCAAGACTGCCCTCTTCAAGGGTTAGCCAAATTCATTCTCCCATTTATGTTCCTTTACTACCTCCTTCCCACCTCCAGTCCCATGGGCAACTAAGTGGCTTCTCATTCTCTGCTCTCCAGGTTATCAGGCATTGCTTTTCCTTCCACCACTAGCACAACAGATCAAGGGTAAACTCACCTGCTTCGAGTGCCACAGAGGGCTTGAGGGCAGCTGCTGCAAGCCTGGCCATCATAGGAGAGATTAATCCCTTGCTAGCAGAGATCCTTTCCATTATTGATGCTGCTGGAGCTGGAGAAGAAGTAGCTGCTGGGTCACCAGATCCTGAAACAGCCTGGGATGAGGAATCCGTAGGAGTAGATGATGTTGGATTGGTGCCAGAAGAACCAGCAGTCATCAGATTAGCTGAGCTGGCAGGAAGTGGTGTAGAGACCCGACTGGGGATGATGGGGAAGAAGGATCCAGCTGTTCCAGGAAGTGCGGAGTTGGAGAGTGCCAGAGCCAAGGGTATATTGCTGGGAAGAGCCTGGGAGAGCAGGCCAGAGATCTTGGTGGCTGGTGTCATGCTGTTGGCAGACTTGCTGGCCTGTGAGGAAGCAAGGTCAGCAGCAGAGGAGGGTGCAGCTGGAACTATGAGAGAAACGGAAGACTGTTGACTGGTGGGGGAGGCACTCAGGCTGGAGTTCTTCGAGCTCATAGCGGAGAAGTCAATGAGGTCATCATTACTGGACTCCTCTTGCTCATTATCCTTGGACCCCAGGAGAGAGGCAGGCAGGCCCAGCACTCCTGAGCTCCGGATATGCCGGCGCTCATGTTTGCGTTTATGGGAGGTCATCTGGCTGGTGGAGGTGAAGGTGAAGCCACAGCCTGCCCTTATGCAGTGGAAGTGGTTGGTGGCCTTGCTATAGACACAGCCCTCATATTTGCATTCCTCATACTTGTAGAACTTCTTGAAGCCGTCCTTGGCATAGGCATCATCTTTGATGTGGTAGCTCTTGTGCTTCTCAATGTCACACTTGTTCTTGAAGGTGAATGTACACCCAGGTCGCCTGCAAGGGCATCGAGGAGGAGAGGATGGTTGGCTGTGTGGGCTAGGAGCACAACCCAACTGCTGTCACCTCCATCCCTCTGGGATGAGGACAAGGCCCAGTATGAGACAGCAGCCCTTGTTGCAAAGGGGTGAAGGAGCTCTATGCAGATTAACCTGTGACACCAGGGCAAGCAAATGTGCTGCCATGTGAGAGAGCTGGGATGCTCACTCCACTCTGAGGAACAGCCACAATAACATGGGGATACAGGCACCCAACACTAAAAATTCCAACCAAAACAGCAGCTAAATGGGTCTCAGGTACAAACTGTGTTTTCCTATTATTCCCGAGAACATGAACAATCAATGGAAGAGCATTTGTGTACAGAAGAAGGAGTCTGGCCCTGAAAGGGATGATCTGGCTGACTGCTGGCTGGAGAGAACTCTAGTGTGGAAGTGCCATTAGCAGTGTATAAATGGCCTCTGTCAGTCAAACTCCAAAGAGCAATGTGATCTCTTTCCCAAATGATTCTAGGATGTATTTTCTAGTGAGTACACTTTCCTCAGATCACCTCAGATCACACTCCTGCCTTCAGAGTGGTCTGTGGCAAGATCCAGGAAATCACACCTGCCCTGGAGGATGAGTTCTCTCAAAAGCTGTACTGAGGTCACAGCAAGGAAAATCAAGTCCCTGTGTATACTCCTCAATTTATGACTTGGCAGAAGGAAACAAACACAACTCTTGAGGAAGCATTCCT